CCTACACCCCAAAACCCTAAACTGGGGGGGAAAACCTGGGTGGGAGGGATCCCTTGCCTCCGAGATGCTCATACGCCAAGGTTAGGGCTAAAACTGTGCGAGCTATAGACTGGTTTAGGGTTTAGGGTTTAGGGTTTAGGCCCCAAAAGTATGTAAAATAATGGCCTTTAGGGCTATTATTATGGGTTTAGGGCTATTATGTTACATACTTTTGGGGCCCAGGTACTCTAAACTCCTCAAAGGGGAAACTCCTTTGAAGGGGGTTATATAGGGGTTAAAAGAAGGTCTAGGGTTTGGGATTTGGGGTTTGGGGTTTAGGCTTCCGGGTCTAAAATGCTTAAAGGGGGGTCAGGTAGGGATTAAATAAGGGACGATTATAGGGCTTATTAAGGGGGATGCCAGGAATTTAGACTGTATTAGCTCATGTAGATAGTCTTGATCAATCTGACCTGTTTGGGCTCAGCGTAGCAGGGTTGTTGACAACGCTGCAATCCTGCCTTGACTTGCTGGTTGTGAGTAGGTATTGAAGGAATGGGACAGAACATTGAAAAAGCCATCAAATTTTGGACAACACAGGCCTACTGTAGGAATCCACTCTTCTTTCTTTCCGTGCAAACAGCCAGTAAATTGAGTTTTACGCACATGGATTCGGAATGCAGCGCTCGCCATGCCAAGCAAGACGCCCGGTGTGTAGCTCTGAACAATCTATCTTTGGATGCCCTTCAATAAATGTTGTCTTCACTGACATGGCCCTGTTGGCATCCATAATTCTACAAACCTCGTTCTGCTCGTGCACGGAGGGGCTTTGTTGGACAAGAGACCTCGTACATCTTTGTGTGGTGCTGAGTCTAACAGAGGGTCGTTTCCTTAACTAGGGGGGCCCCAAAGTAGGCCCCAAAAATACTGTAATCCCACCGAAAAAATGTACACCTAATTTTAGGAAACTCATTGCTGGCACCACACGCTTTTCAAGCAAGCATCCGAGTTGTAGACAAAATGCATAAGAATTCAAGCTTAGAACTCCTCAAAAGATCAGATCTGAAGCTCAGCATTCTCATAGAAATTGGAGCTCAAAAATGTTGGATGAGAATCAAGTTTCACAAGTTCTCTCACTCAGCACGTGCAGGACTCTTTGAGTCAAGCCAAACAGATGGGACCGCATCATGAGCATTTTGAGCTCAGATTTCCATCCAAACCCATGCCAGGTCCCAGAAAAAATCTACCTTCCACGTCCCCTTTTTCTTCCAGCTTTGCTGGGATGCTCAAGCCTGCTTAGCATGTTTTTCCAAAGAGTATCAAACTCTCGTTGCGCTGGTGTCAAATTGGAAGAAAGCTCTGTCAAAAGAGCCACTGAGTCTTGGATATAAATCCGACATGTGCGTTCAGAGGCCCATCGCCCCCGCTGACATACAAATGAGTAGGACCGAGTTTCGAGAAAAACCTGAGTGGCCCCCCCTCTACGCAAACTGTATGGTTTGTATGGCGTTGCATCCAAGCCGGTAGCCTGAAGCCCTCTCGCAAACCACTGACGAAAGACAGAAGCTGACATGTCAATCAAGAGGGCATCTGGTGCAGTCACACTTTTCCAAGCTTGGAGCATGATACTGATTTTCTCATGTGAAAACGAAGCACTCTCTGTCCCTGCATTCCGTGCTGCCATCTTGGTGGATCCTAAATGAATGACTACAAAGTCTTGCGAACAGATGATGTCTTTGTTTTTGACTTGCAGTAGTTCTCCCGTTCGCAGGAGTGCCCAAAATGCAACTACCACCCCCAAAGCAACCTCAGGCACATGCTTGTGGAGCCAGCCTGCCAGCACGGACAGTGTGGAAACGGTAAGTGGGGGGGCTCGGCTTGGAATCTCATGCTTTTGCCAAGCCTTTATTAGCCTCCAACTTTGTAGCATTCTACGTTTCAATTGGGGTTCATGGTGTTGTAGACTCGAAAGCGCATCCTGAGCTAAGTAGCGAGAGTCTCCATCTTCCCAAAGTTCTTCAATATACATGGATGCCAAACGGTCCACTTCCACATATTGTGAAGGAAGCCCAAACTGGTTCCATCTCAAGAATTCCAGAAATTTTTTCATTGCAATTTCATAGCGCCTGCAGGTTTGAGGTCGGATTACAAGATCCCTCAACTTGCCTAGATGTTGCCTGCGTGCCTTTCGTGTGCATTGGGTATGTCCCTCCACTACTTCTGCGCTGCGGCCCATTTTCGCTTTTGTCCGCGCCGCGAGGGCGCGTCAGCTGGATTTTGGCCGGTATCCACATACCCTAACACACACGAGTTGGCCGATACAAGCAACCAGGCACTAATCTTTTTCATGATGCTTCGGAGTTTCCTACTCGAACTCCTCCCTTTGTTCACGACGTGCAACGAAACAAGGCTGTCTACCAAATGGAGGTATCGCTTTCCCTTACACTTTTGTTTGAGCACGCGCCACTTAACTGAGGTCAACAGCGCCCGTAGTTCTAGGCGGTTGATGTGTTCGGTTTCTCCATTTTGGGTCTTTTTCCATTTCCAACCACAAGCAGTTTTCCACGTCCTAAATGCCGAAGGCACCGATGTGCGTAATCGATCATAACTTTGAAGAGGCTCCGTGGCAGATTGCAGCAAAACATCGGTCCCTCGAGTGGACATAAGGGATCCCAATTTACGCACCAACCGAGTGTCATTGTCGGAAACCTTCTTTTGATAGGTAGGTATCCAAGGGGGTCGACTCAAAAAAGTGTTCAGGTTTGTGCTACCTCCCGGCTGGCAACGTACTTGAAGGTCGATAAGGCTCACCTCATCACACAACCCCAAGGGCGCCAACAAGTGCTTTAGGAGGAAAGCTGTAACAGGAACAGACCCTGCACTCCCCAGCATGTTGAGTCTACAGTCACTCCACCCCGTGGGATTCTGCTTACGATCCGCTTTACTCCATGCTTGATGCGTGAAATCAAGAGGGTATCCGAGCATGGCTTCCCTCTCGTTAATGCTTGGTAGACGCCACCCGTTTTTAGGATGAATGATGCCATGCTGATGTTTATATTGATACGGGGGGGAAGCGGAAGTTGTCTGTCTCCCAGTAGCTTAAATCCCTAACTGAACACTTTTCCATCCCCACAGTCTGGAACCCAGGTTGCGCCTTAGGCTGACAGAAAGCGAAGGCCGGCAACTTGTGATCCATACCTCCAGCCAAACTGCAACCCGGGCTCAGATATGGATCAGGGCAGCAATCAAGGAGAAAACTAATTCTCCCGAAATCTTCAGCGTGCGGAGTGAGCGGTGTTTCTATTTCAGTTCCATGCTCTACACAAACTTTCCAGTTGAACCAATACAACCTTGACCGCCTACAAGGTGTGATTCCTACAGCATCAAGCTCGTAAGGTAAAATCCCCACACCACGACTGACATTTGCTCGGTCAACATCTGACATGGAAGACATACCTTCAATCAGGACGAAAGTTTTAGCCCAGACAAAATGTCTCTCAACCAAATCACGGAGTCGAGAAACCTCATGAAGAAGCATGCGCGGAGAGCCACCCTCAAGATCGTGGGCCAAACCTGATCTCCCCTGGCAAGGCGTCCCCGCTGCGACTAAAACGCACTTGGCCCTCGAAAAACGACAAGCCCATGATTTTGCCATCACGTCAGAAAATTTATTCCAAGGAATGGACAAACTCAGTGGAAGCAAACGCGCTCTCCACCACCCGCCTTGCCGCTGCATCTGTTTCGATAGCAACATATCCAGCCACCTTGGCACGCAGGACGTCAAGGGCCACTCGACATGTCCCAACGCCATCAAAAAGTGAGATCAGAAGGACTTGGTCATCATCAGTGCCTGCACTCGTGCACCCTCTGACTGATTTCTCAGCTGCCTCATTCCCGAACGGAGTTAATCCAGAACTAAAAGAGAGCCCCCCGCCACTTTCAGATGCATCGCTGGCGGTGACTGTGGAGTCATATGGGGCCCTCAGGTTCATGAAAGCTGGAGGAGCAAGGGCGGCACAGCAAAATAATTCTTCCCGAACTGAGTCAGGTATTGGCTTCCATACTCCCAGCCGACCTTCGAAGCTTGAGATGAACCCCCAAACATCATTCAGGCAGCTCATCAAGCACCTCTTGTAGCTGAAAAGATACACGAGGCCTCCAGCTACCATTTGGATTCGCTTCAAATCCGTTCTTTTGCTTTGCAGAAGATACCAAGCCCCTCTCAAATACCTGGCAACTTTATCAGGCTTGGGTCTAACAATTCCCTTTTTTCCATCGATCAGACCTCCTTGCATCTCTCCTACAAGCTGAGTCTTCACAGATTTCTTTTCATTTACTGGGATGTCAAAATCTTCATAAACCCTACGGAGCTCTGCCGCTGGAGCGCTGAGCTCCCCGCTCAAGAGACAAGCCGCCTCTCGATTTTTCCTCTCGAGCAAATCAAAATTATCAAGATACACTCGATATGCCAGGGCAGAATTGGGCAAAGGTTGATCCCGTCTGACTTCTGCTTCTCGGCTGATCTTCAACCGGTCAATTGCAAAGTTGACGATGTTTCTATGCAGAGTTTGGGCTACAGAAACCGAGTTTATGAATCCCATCGGCAGTACGGGGCTAGAAAGTACGCAGGGCTCCGACACCCCAGCAGGCCGCATGTGATCTGGGACCTCCTTCCCGAAGGCTAGGAGGGGTCTCCAGGACTCTCCTAAACCAACAATGTAAAACATCACCTTGATATCCTCAGAGGATACTAGGATGTTATCGTCTGGAAAGATTTCTAGTGGGAAAAGTTGGCTTAACATCGGAAGTGTGTGGAGGTCACCTGCTATTGCTTCAAAAAGTTGGTTAATCGGCCTTAAATCCATGATCAATCTCAAGACCGGCACACCGTCGACCTCCTCCATCTTTGGCACTCCGAAAAGGCCGCCCAGCACAGGCTTCCCCTGCACATGGAGGACTTGGCTCAATGGAATGACATCACAAATCCGACGTTCAACTAGCCCTGCCGCAACCCGCGGCCACTCTTCAGCAGAGACCATTACTCTTGGAGTTGTCATCCAAGTTCGTGCAGGTTCCGGCTTCAAATACTCCCATGGGTTTGCAAGAAAATCCTTGATGCCCCCGGACGCAACGCTCACTCCGTCAAGAGCTCCAGCAAGCTCTCGCTGTGGCAAGCTGTGCTCAACATTGGCCCAAGTGAAAGCAAGAGCACTGTGAACTTCCTCCCCATAACCATTGACGCTACGGGATCTCCAATATGACTCAATAGGAGTACTGTCAAAGGACTCACCCGCCAAATCAGACAACCCGTGAAAAGAATCAACAAGCTCTTGCAACAGGGAAGCTTGGGTAACGGTGCATGGGCCTGCTCCTAAAGACAAACTACCAATCGCTAACCAATTTAGGGCTCTGACGGCGGCCTCCAGCCAAGCATGCTCATCAGGGGACAGATCCCCGTTGAACATGGGCAGGGGAAAGACCTCTGCCGTGGAATGATGCTTGCTTGAGTCAAGTAATCCTACTCCCGCAGCAGCACTGCTCTTCAGGAGGATCCACCGTCGCAAGAGGGGCCCTAACTGCGTCACAAGCCCTTGGACATCTGAGGACAAAAGCTGTGCTGATTCCTCCCGAATGGCAGGAGGGTTTGGGCATGCTGCGATATCTCTACTGGGAGCCACAGGCTCCTCTACCACCTCAGTGGGGGAATCACTGACTGAAATCACATCGGCTAATCCTTCACGGGAACTACTTCGCTCGAAAGGGCTGGCACTCCTTTGGGTGGCCTCCATTTGCCCCCCGGTTTGCCCTTCTGGTCCTTTGCCTTGCCCCCTTTGCTGTTTTTGTCGCCCTTGGCTCCCGAATCCTCCACCTGCGGCTTCCCCCAACCTTTCCCTTTGGGGTTCCAGGAGCTGGGGTTCCAGGAGTTGAGATTCCATGACGTCTTCATCTCCCGCATCTGCTCCTGCGCTTCTGTGCGTTTTTCTTCCGCGGAGGCTAGAGAAAACATCTCTGCTGGAATGAGCTCGAGGCGATTTGCAGTTGCGGGGGATACACCCTGGCTGATCTGCTCTACAGCCTTCAACCGTTGAACTGCGATGTCTAGCAATTTCAAAACATTCCCCTCTAATATAGAATCCAGACAGTGAGCGAGGGTCAAGTACTCTCGTTTCATAGGGGCGGAAGCCCCCGAATGGTTGAACACCTGTCGAAAATACCGGACGAAAACCGGCACCGGTTTCTGGCTTGAAGAGTCCTCCCCCATCTCCATGAGGAGTCTTTTTCGCGCCTCTTTGATGGCATAACGCGCCAGCAGACCTGGACACTTCCTTGCGATGTGCCTCGATTGGGCCTTCTCTGGAAACAGATCTTCCTGGTCCGACCCTTCCTGACTGGCCGTTTTGGCACTGCTGTCTGAACTCTCGCTCTCCTCTCTCTTCCTCTTCAAACTTATCCGAGGCCGGCGAAACTCTGGGTCTAAGCTGGACCCTTTCCAATCCCACGTGCTTGATTTCACCATGCTCTTGATTCGTGCCCTGCCTTTCAGCTTCTTGCTGTTCGGCGGCCCCGGTAATTTCTCCAAGGGCGGAACAGGAGGAGGTCCGGGCGGCCCCCCTCCCGACATAGCACCGTACCCCAAGTCCTGGGCCACCGCAGCCAGGCTTGGGAGACCGGTCCCTTCGTCTGCAACTCTAGGAGGTTTGATTTCCACTCTAAGCTGGGGTCTACCTCTCGAAACTCCTGAGCACAAAACAATCCCGTCAGTTGGGGGTCCAAAGGATTCAGGAGGGGGCGACGATTGGTAAAAAACCCTTCGTTGCTGGACTTGCGCCATTCCTGTAGAGCCATGTGCGGACTCCCCGTTACTTTCATTTTCACCCATTCCCCCTCCCAGTCTGCTATAAGCTCTTCTACCTGCCCCACACATTCTGACGGATCTCCCCTGCAAGTTCCTCTCAGGTGCAGCTGCTGCCCGATCTCGGGAACCCATTCTCGTAGGGGCTTCCATGTTGAAGGCTCGTCTGGAACACGCCTTCGCTGCCCACGCCGAGCTGGCGCTCTCTTGGCCGCCGCCTTAGGGACAGCTGGATTTCTTCTTCGGTTGACCCGGGGTGCCGCCGCTGGCCTCCTGCGAGGGGCCATCAAGCCCACCAACCGAAGATGACTGACTGGCACGCCGATTCTCCCAATAGGCCTTCCCACGTTCTCTGTGCTTTTTTCCTTTGTTTCGCCCCTTCTTGATTGAATTCAGCTCTTCGCTTCCACGAAGTACTGATTGTGAATTCCACCCAGGACTACGCTTCCAAGATGAAGTGAAGCTGTCAGGTTTTTCCTTGCGTTCCCTTCGGGGAGCTTGTGGTGGAGGTGGAGGCTGTCGCCTAACTTCTCTGCGATCGTCTCTCCTCTCTTGGTCACGGCTGGACCTTTTGTCCTTGTGATTTTGGCTCGAGTTTGAAGATTGACGACTAGAAAGGTCTGCCTCTTTCTCAATAGCTTGTGATTTCTCCTCACAAGTCCCAGGAGGTGCCCCGAGGGGAACAGATAACCAACCGTTCACTTCACCAAGAGATCTCTCCAGAATGGAGTGGACCAGGTCGTAATTTTCAGAATTCAACCGAGGATCGGCAGGGAGTAAGTGCACTGCCCTACTGACACGGCAAATCCCACAGATAGGGCTGCCTGAAGTACTGTACCAGCGCCCACAATCTGAGCACCCCACGCGAGGCGCCGACATGAACACAGGAAACTACAGCAGGCTATTAGCCGAGATGATGCCGCGGTCGTTTCCTAAACAGCGACAACGCAGCTTCAGGGAAGCCCCCAAATATTCCAACTTCCATGCTTGTTTCCGGACAGGAAGACCTGCCCTCACTTCGTGCTGGATGGGTGATTGATAGAGAGACTGCCAAACACATGGGTGCCCACTGAAGAATATTTGAAAAGGGTCTAATTCTGACAACGAACCCTGATCCCTATACCCTAAACCCTAAAGCACACATGAAACGGGTGGACCCCTTGTGCCATCAACTCTAAATTTTCATTCCCCAACCCTGAGAAGAACTGACTTGACGACCTTCCATGCCCGGGTTTAGGATTTAGTGCTGCAGGGTCTAGGGTTTAGGGGGTTTAGGGCGTAGGTTTAGTACCAGTTTCGATTGTGTTTGAAAGTTTCTTGTACACTTGATTGCTCAGTCCTAAGCTCTAAACCCTATATATATATATATGTACACGTAATAATATATATATATATATTTAAGCCCTACATGCTGACAAATAATCCAAAGACAATCTCTATAGAACCCCTTTGTAATCCTGATAGAATCCCTATTTAACCCCTACATTATCCTTATCGAGCTCTTGAACAAACCCAATACAATCCAAGCCTCTACATAGACCCTGCATAATCCCTTTAGAATCCCAATATTCAATCCTTAATTGGAAGGTCGTGGGACGTTGTTACTATTTATAACTTGGGCAATATGCCTCTGAAAAAATTCGGGTAACCTCTATAAGGCCATTTCGGGGGATTGTATGTAGAGGTAGGGATTTAGGACCACTAATAGATAGCTACTCTGTCCTATGAACCTCCGAGTATACAAGCCCCATATCGATATAATCCCATTATAAGCCTACATCATGCCTATGTAAGCACCGAGTATACAAGCCCCATATCGATATAATCCCATTATAAGCCTACATCATGCCTATGTAAGCACCTACATAACCCCTACATTGCCCTACATGTTCACAGTGTAGCCCCTAGACCATTTTTCAAAAACCTAAACCCTAGTTTCTAAACCCTAAACCCTAAATCCTAAACCCTAATCCTCAATCCTAAACCCTGAGCTCTAAATCCTAAACCCCAAACCCTAAACCTTAAATCCTAAACCCTAAGTCCTAAACCCTAAATCCTAAACCCTAAATCCTAAACCCTAAATCCTAAACCCTAAGTCCTAAACCCTAAATCCTAGATCCTGCCTCTCAACCTCTGGCCTTTGCCTGGCTAAAAGCCCAGTTCGCCGCAGCCTGGGCAAGGAGGTTCAGGGTAAGCCAAACCCAAACATTAGGGTTTAGGGTTTAGGGTTTAGGGTGTAGGGTTTAGGGTTTAGGGTTTAGGGTTCACAAAGGGTTATATAGGTTCGTATTGGGGTATCTAGATTCTTTAGGATGAATATAAAACCACGTATAGCTGTATCTATATTACCCGGTCCAAGATTGAGGCCCCTGCTGTCAGCAAAGGCTAAGTATGCTTTCATGTTAGTCGGGTGTGAAGGTTCGAGGCTTTAGAGAGAGGTTTGGGACCTAGAGTTTGGGTTTAGGGGCCTGAGGTTTAGAGCTGCTGCAGGTTTAGGCGTAGGTAACGTCTCTCAAAATCTTCCCGTCCTGGGTGACCACAACAAATGGTGATGACGGTGGCGGTGCCAGGGACGGTGGCAGCGCTGGTTGCGGCCGCGTGGCGTTGCTGCTGATGGTGATGGGACTGCCGGTGCTGCCGCCGGTGCCGGCGTTAGTGCTGCTGCTGTTGCTGCTGCAACTGCAACTGCAACTGCAACTGCTGAAGCTACAGGCTACTGCCGGTAGTGATGGTGGTGATCATGATGTTCATGATGATGATGATGATGATGCTGACGATGCGACTTACAAACCTGGAGAGACGGCAACGTCAATGATAAGGGCAAAACACAACAGCCTTGTTCTCGCAGCACCATACGGCCTCCAACCTGAATAAGCATGAGGATCGAAAAGCATACCCCAAGTCTTCTTAAACTTTAGGTCTCAGACCCCCAAATGGGATCCCGAGACCCTAAACCCTAAACCCTATATATCCCCATATATCCGTATATAACCCCTGTAATACTCCCCTAAATGACCCCCTTTAAGGAGTTGTTGGTGGCACTCCAAGTCCATCACTCTAAGTTCACCCTTGCTGCCTAGGAGGACCCCCCACCCTGTAATAGTGCTATAATAAGAATATAAGAGGACCCTAATAACCCTTAGTATCCCCTATAGTCACTATTACAGGGTGGGGGGTCCACCTAAGTTGCTGCATAGGAACCCACCGATGCGCGACCATCCTCGCTGCAGTGGCCATCGAGCCCTGCCATGCATCGGAGCTTCCGTTTTTGGGAAGATATATACTAATGGGGTTATATTGGGATTATATTGGGGTTATATTGGGGTTATATTAGGGCTATATTGGGATTATATTTGGGGTTGTATTGGGGTTATATTCAGGTTATATTGGGGTTATATTTGGGTTATATTGGGATAATGGAAAAGAAAATGGAAACTACTTGCTCATGCGATCAGAAAGTAAGCAGCTATGAGTGAAGCAAACAAGTTTGCTCAGGAGACGCAGGCAGTATGCAAACAATGATTGAAGAAGAACTTGAGGCAACACAGGCAAAGTTCCGAAGAAGACTAGGAACACAATGAAACCTTCTAGAGTTCCGGCCAAGTCCCACGACCATGTCAGGAGTCCAGTGCCGAAAGCCTCAAACAGACTCGAGTCGAAGGTATACGCCCACCTATAAGGGCCTAATTAATTTAGCAACATCATGTCGAGGTCTGTTTTACAACCTAGCCCAACATTTTACAAAACAAAGGACCACAGTGATGGCGATTCTCTCTAGGAACCCCTGCGGATAGCCAGCTTCGATTGTATTTCCAATTTTATGTTCCATTTGAGTCTCCAGTATCCTGAACCCCAAACCACTTTTCCCAGTGACCCCCTTAAACGGACCACAATTTTGGTAATTATACAGGCGTCTACCTGACACATATCAAGCAAGCTGCGCCACCAGGCGTGACTGCCGCCAAGTGGGGGTTCAACACAACTAGCGTAGGTTAGGGGTCCCAGGAAAGTTAATTGTTTAAAGGCCCTATAATTGAGGGTAATGACATTTAAACATTATAAACAATATTTTGAAAGCTGCCCTTGGAAAGAGTTCGGAGGTAAAACACAAGCAGCAGATAAGCTTTAAGACTAACGAACAACAACGAGCATAAGGGGACGGTTCTGCTGATGCACATTTTTAAAGTCTAGTGCGGATACCCATGAACGAAATTGCAAGTCTGCATCCTTGGATACATGCGTCCCTGCGTGCCTGGTTGACACACGCTGCACCCACTCCGGCCAGAAATATAGTAGAACCCCATCGCTGTCAGGGTCAACACCGTCCCATACATCATGTTGTCCACTAAAAGGGGCTTGGATAGTACAACAGGACAAGACCATCTACTGTGGTAGGGAGGATTGAGGTTATAATTTAGAGATACCAGCAGTGATTCTTAACCCCCAGCTCGCATTTTTCGACTACGCCCGTTCAAGGGACTGCTCAGTACTTGGGCCCTTCTCTTAATGCCCCCCATCACCTCTTTCTTTGCCTTCTATGCTCTTGACGCATTCTTGGGCTTGAGGTTCATCTTGCAGTGCTGAGAGTGGGGAGCAGAGAGCCCAAGGTGAGAATCGCTCCATTCCAGTGTCTGCAGCTATCACGATCATGTCGTGAGAGAGAGCATGAGGCAAAGCCTCTCCGCATAGTTTCAGACAAAGCCCCGCATAACACAGCGCCCTGGGGTTGGCTTGTTGGTAAGATGGCTACGCTGGAGATTTGATTTCAT